CACAGGCTGCTAAAGTTACAGATTTACTAGGTAAGCAATGTTATATACTGTAAAATGATTAATTAGTTTTAATTTTGTTTATTTCGCTGACTGGAAAATGAGCCAAATTAAAACCCAGTGAATATGTAAAATTTAGGATACAATACATTATCTATATTTATAAATCCAATGATTATAAGCAAAATTAAAAATTAATTATTTTACAGTACATCTAAACAAGCAAAGTATTTCTTGCATAGTGACTGGTATCTTCAATGTGTACTCACTGCTTTGGTTTTCAGATCAAATGAAACAAAAAGACACTGATATTCAGAGAACGCTTGCAGACAAGTGGAATCTCTTAGTTGAGATGACAGACTTGATAGGAAAAGCTGAAGTGTCAGGAATAAAAAAGATGACGTACATGATTGAGGGTCATTCTTCTGAAATCCCACAAACCAGAGAATTATTAATGGCAGCAATTCAGGAATGTGAGTCACTCTGTATAACAACATTGATTTAATCTATCATATAGTTATCTTTTAATTGTCACCATTACTGTTAGCTTTGAATCATGGCATGTGATTGTATATAACGTAAGCTTATTGTCATGAGTATATTAGAGAACGTATTGTACACCTATATGTATGATGTACGCGGGAAAAATTGTATTTAGCTCCCGTGAAACGGAGCTTATGTTGTACCGGTAAACTTATAATTATACATCCTATTTAACAGATCTTGGGGGAAAAAGGTCAACTAAATTATTACTTTCACTTTTACAGTTTGCCATTACACACTCTCAGTGACTTTATCCAAATCTGCACATTCACTAACACCATACACACACACTCCACTAAACGCCAATTCTGAGCAATTGTTTCATACTTATCCTCAGAGAAAAGGCCGTAACCACTTTCATACAAGCTAGAAAGACTGTCTTGCACATTTACACACACCATACACACACACTCCACTAAATGCCAATTCTGAGCAATTGTTTCATACTTATCCTCAGAGAAAAGACCGTAACCACTTTCATACAAGCTAGAAAGACTGTCTTGCACATTTACACACACCATACACACACACTCCACTAAATGCCAATTCTGAGCAATTGTTTCATACTTATCCTCAGAGAAAAGGCCGTAACCACTTTCATACAAGCTAGAAAGACTGTCTTGCACATTTACACACACCATACACACACACTCCACTAAATGCCAATTCTGAGCATTTGTTTCATACTTATCCTCAGAGAAAAGACCGTAACCACTTTCATACAAGCTACAAAGACTGTCTTGCACATTTATTTGTACTCTCAATCTAAACGAATATTTTCAGGAAATGATGGAATCTAAAAATGTAAATTTGCATAATTATTGAACTCCATATTCTAATCTGCATGGTTAAATGGAAATTGTCTTCACGCAATGCCTGTTCAATTTTTATGTAAACAAATAATGTAATTTTGCTTGTTATGTATGTCGCTATGTGTCCCATATTGAACACATTATGGCATGACGATCGCCACCCTTTAATTAATGCAGATATCGGGAATTACTGTATTCTGAAACTACTTTAATTTTTTTTAATTCAATGTACATAATACTATATGTCTATTGCAACTTCAGCTGTTAAGTTAACCTCCGCTGTTTATGGTGCTGGAGGACTGAGTAGAAGCGCCACCAGTGTCGGAGAAAGTGAAAGTGGCACATACCAATCTCCCTCATTACCAAAACGAGCTGAAACATTTGGTGGATTTGACAGCACTGGCCAGTCTATCTTGCAGAAAGGTGAGTTATAAATGATATTGACACATTTAACCAAGCAAATGTTGTACACTAAACTGGAATAAAACCTGCCATTGCTTAGTAAGTATATTTTAGGTTCAGATGTTCTAGTTAAATTCCAACAAATGTTCTTTTTTAGGTGGGCCATTAAAGAAGAAATATCATATGACTTCTATTGATTCTGAGGCACGTAGTAGCAGTTCACCAAATCTTACAAAAGGAGAAGGCGATAGCAGTAGTGAAGAGGTAACAACATCACAAACTGACATAAAGGAAAGACGTGGTAGTGTTAGTAGTCCTGACTTACAGAAGATGTCAAAACAAGGAAATGCTGTACGAAGCTTGAGTGATGCTGATAAAACAGATGAGAATGTGAGTGTAAAAATATTCATTATTTTCATAACCCATGTTTATCTTTTACTAGTTTATCACTAATACAACAAGTTAAGGCACTAGAGGATATAGGGATAGCCAAGTATGTCTATGTAAAAACACTCGAGATTGTATTGCATGTTTTTATTTAATTAATCAAAATCATTTGCATTTGGTTGGGTTTTGTAAGTATGTGTGTGATGTAACTTGTTGTAGAATATTTCAACACTTGAAATCCCATTTGAATCCCAACAGACATTACATCAAAGAAAATATATTTGTCTGACCCTGTATTTATTTGTGTGTTTTGTTTGAATAATTTCTATAACAAAGTTGTGAAGTGTGGATTGTTACTTGTATTCTTCATCTGGTTTTCAGAGGCAGCATAGTACAAGTCCTAGTTTCCTCCAGGCAAAGCTGCATCAGAATTCAAGTGATTCCTTGAAAGATGAAAATGGAAAATTATCTGATACCGGAAGTGACAGAGAATCTATAGGTAAGGTTATCTCTACTGTAACCATGACCCAAGTATACTGACAATGTCAAGTTTTAGCAAACTTGAATCCTTGGTTGGGAGCAATGTGTATCTGACTATAGCTGCTGAGGATTCTATGAATGTGTGTCTCTCACTCTCATCGATATCCTTGGTTGGGAGCAATGTGTCTCTGACTATAGCTGCTGAGGATTCTATGAATGTGTGTCTCTCACTCTCATCG